AAGCCAGGCTTTACTTTTAACAGACCAGGCCCATTTTGTAGCCTATTAGTTTAAGTCTGGCCTGTAACCTGTTACAAGCCGTCTAGCTTGTTTCCACCCCTATTAGGAAGATAATTTTAAGACAACAACATTTGCATGATTGCATCACATCAAATAGCAATGTAAAAATGAACCTTAAATTGGGGGTAATATTATACTACTATGGATGTTTAATATAAGATTTTACTCAACTAATTTAAATAAATTAAGTAAAATAGTTAAATTAATTGTTTGTCAAAAAAGTATGTGTTGATTTCTTTTAAAAATATTCTTTTAAATCATTTGGATTGAAAATAACATTTGATGCAAACTCCCTAACACAACACAATAGGGGTTAGTTTGGATAAATAAAGAGAACAAAATTGATTAGAATATTATATTTTTGACCAAATTTAACTCCTATAGACTCATATTAAGAATGGCAGATGGTATATTAGTTTTCTCTTTTTGTAAGATTTATTTTTTTAGTCTTTCTAAATATTAAATACATTTCTATTAATTTTACTGCTTAATTTTACAAGTAGAGGCCCTATCAACTGTTGGGTATTAAGAATGAAAACTTTCTAAATAGGGATTCCAACCTAACTCTGTTAGTTCTAGTTCTTTAATTCTATAAAGTATTTTTTTTTCATTTTTTTATTTTAATGCCACGAATTAAATATGTTGAAATTAAGATTTTAAAAAGGAAAAATGTATTTTTAAATTAAAAAAATAAAATAAAAGTTTATTTAGAGTTAGAAGGGGAGAGAATGTATTGCCACAGATAGAGGGAGAGGGAGTCTATTCGGTAGTATTATAGCGTGTGTATTTCATCTCCCCCGTCTGGGCCATTGCCAGAAAGGCAGCAGAAGCTGCTCAGTCGTCCTGCAATCTCTGTATTATAGTGTGTGTATTTCATCTCCCCCGTCGGGCCCATTGCCAGAAAGGCGGAAGTTGCTCAGTCATCCTGCAATCTCTGGTTGAGTCATCATCTTTTTAAATAAGATAGTATATGTGACAAAACTGTCACTACCAAGCGCCTGACTTCCAATTATCTTCTTCAAACGGCGGTTTTAGCTAATGCTAATCTGATCGAAACCCACGTCCTCCCATTGCTGTTTTTCGCAACCAACAATACCCACGTGCTTTATCTACGTTTTTTCCAAGTTATTTTTGGTCCCGATGCTGTGTCTTCAGCTTGTCAGAGTCTCTCTCTCTGCTTCCAAATTCTCCACCGCTTTGCCTCTAGCTCCAATTTCTAGAGTAATTCCCGGAACTTCAAGGCTCAGATCATCAATGGCTACTTACTCGACTTTGTCTCAGTCGTCTAAGCTTTTGTTCCGTCAGCTTTTCGAGAAAGAATCCTCAACCTACACTTATCTCCTCGCTGATGTTTTACACCCCAATAAACCAGCTGTGGTAAGTTCTCGATCATATAGGATTCTTTTATCTTGATTATAATCTGGTTCTTCATCATTTTGTGCTGTAAATTGGGTTACTGGAGTTTCTCAGAAATTGTATCTGGGGTTTATGTTGTTAAGGGATTGGGGATGTCCTGGCATGTTTGTTGTGTGATTGATGGAGACTTTTCTTTTTAATGTTCAGTTGATTGACCCAGTAGATAAGACAGTGGATAGAGATTTATCACTCATTCAACAATTAGGACTAAGTCTTGTGTATGCCATGAACACCCATGTACACGCTGATCATGTCACAGGGACAGGCCTCATTAAGGTGTGCTGTTTCTAATTTTTGATTTTCCACATTAAAATTTTCTATGTGATCTGCTTCTGGATTCTTTTTTCCGCAATAGTTTATTAAATTTGAAAAGCTCCTTTGAGTAAACATTTGTAATTACTTGATGTTTAAATTTTTAACCACATTTTGTATAGAGCAAAGTTCCAGATGTAAAATCTGTCATTTCAAGAGCAAGTGGTGCAACAGCTGATCTGTATGTAGAGCATGGCGATAAAGTCAGTTTTGGTGATCTCATTCTGGAGGTAGTATTTACAGTGTCTTGCTTGGTTTTGTGTGTTCATATTAGATATGGCCTGGTAAATTTTCTTAGGTTTTGCCATAGGTTCTTTCAGTACAAACTTTTTTTGCGCTTTTTTTTTTTTTTTTTTTGGTGATAGGAGCCAATTACAATTTACAACCACGCACGCACCCTCCTTAATCCTTCCCCTTAGGGAGGAAACGCTTACCCACACACACACTCCATGCCCACCTAAGGGGTTTGAACCTGCATAGCATAGGTGGATCTTTTTGGAACTAATCATGATGATATTGAGTGTTTTTAAAAAGCTGGTCCGTGTTCCATAAATCTATTAAAGAACTTTGCAGAAGCATCTAAAAACTGAATTGAAGTTTTCCCCTTTCATATATTGCACTGAATGATAAATCTTCAGCAAACATCCATCTGTGCAGCTCAATTTTTGGTGGTGTAAACGTATGTGTTTGTAAAGAGAAGTATTATTCTACTGACTGGAAATTATTACCAATCATTTTCCCTCGATGTTAATTATGTTAAACCAGATATGCTTTCCCATACATTGCACGGAGCAAGAAGAATGAGTTATCTTGTTCATGGCTGTTAACTAGTGTGACTTGCTATACATACATATTACTAATAGATAATAGATTGATTTATCGACTACTAGGTGAGCCTTCTATGCATTGCACCACATTTAAGGAATAGGGCACACTGTTCACATTTGTAAACAATGTGACTTGATATATATTTATATTTTATATTGATTTTGGCATAAATGTAAAAGGATCTGCTTTTTTTCCTAATGTTTGTTGGGCAAAAGGTTCTTGTTCTCTTTTACACTATGTTGTGGGTGACATGTAATCATATATTACTCCCTAATGTGTAAGATTTATTGCTGTCTTTATTGTTCTAGGTTCGTGCTACTCCTGGCCATACAGTGGGCTGTGTGACCTATGTGACAGGAGATGCTTCTGATCAGCCTCAACCTAGGATGGCATTCACAGGAGATGCCCTGTTGATTCGTGGATGTGGAAGGACAGACTTTCAGGTATACGCTATGCTCCAGTTTTCTTGAAAGATACTACATCCGGTCCTTAATATAGATCCACCTTAATGAAGAAATTGAACTACAAAGTGGATTTTATATTAAGGACCCAAGGTAGTAGTTTCTTATTTAATTCCTGAAGCATTGAAGAATGTTGACATTATGTCCTTCCAATGCGCTACTGCACAGGGTGGAAGTTCAGAGCAGCTATACAAGTCAGTGCATTCACAGGCAAGAGCTTGAGCGTACATTAAACTGACAATTAGAAATGTAGAGTTGTAGACTAGAAAGTTTAATATGGTATTTCTTCTTCAATGAGTTTGTGTATAATCTCATTTTCCATCTTTTTGGAACCAGATTTTTGCATTGCCCAAGGATACGTTACTCTATCCAGCTCATGATTACAAAGGATTCACGGTAAGGAGGAAACCCATAGCTTTTTCATTACTTAAATTTTAGAAAGTTGCTCAAACTGCAATTTACTCAAACTGCTGATTTCAGGTAAGCACTGTAGGGGAGGAGTTGCAATACAATCCCCGCCTCACAAAGGATGAGGTAATTTTCGCATGAATTTTTGGAAAAGCGAAATTAAAGAAGTGATTTTGATAATAGAAAATAACCCTCTTGCTCATCGTTTAAAACAGGAGGTAAAATATATAAAAATTAAGTAATGATTACAAATACCTGAGGGATATTGCAGAATGAGGAAGGAAAGGAAATCTCCTCCGTCTCTCGATACCAAACAGGGATGTGTTTTCAGCATTGTTAGACACTCAGAAATCAAGCGAGCTAGTATTCTGTCATCAATTGTTTACTAGGAGATGCTGTTTGGTTAAATAGGATGATGAGTTGTGAATGTTGATTTCTACCCGTTTTATGTTAAAAAAACGAAAGTTCTTATGAGGTTATTCGAGTAGATCTTGTAATACCGATGAGTATACTGGTGACAAATAAAGAAACTCAAACATAATGAAAATTTAATTGTATTTTACTTTTCGTTTATGAAGCAAATGCACTTCTAACATGAAGCCTAATCCTGCCTAGTACATATTTAAAACACTGGTATTATACCTGCTTGAGACTCTGCAAAAAAGAATTTTTGCATTTTACGAAACTCTCCTCACTTATTTATCTCATAAAACGCAAAAATGTCTTCCCCCCCCCCAAAAAAAGCTGATCCAAACTAGCATTGATATTCTAATATGTAATGGATCTAGTCATGCTAGCATCAGTGTTTCTTAGGTTTTGGTTAGCCTCAATTGCAGCAGTGTCTCAATATTGATACTGTTTATGCTTCTTTTGCAGGAAACTTTCAAGAATATAATGGCAAGTAAGTGCTAGATGAATATATCTGTACAGAGTATTCTGAAAAAATAGAGCATATTTTCTCTATTCAAGTGAAGTACTAATGGCGCATTTGATTTTTGCGACAGATCTTAATCTTCCATATCCGAAAATGATTGACATGGCTGTCCCTGCAAATATGGTTTGTGGAATTCAATCAAAACCAACCTGAGCATTTGGGAACTTCATTTGGCTGTCTCCCTGTGACGTATGGTAAGTTATGAAACAAAAATAAAACGACGCTTGTGGGTCTTGAAAGTGTTTGCTGCAGTCTGTAAAATTAAACTGCAAAGGATAATCTGAGCTTAGTGATATTACTTATTGTTCTGTGATATAAGTAATGATAACTGGTTAGATTTCTTTCTTTCTTACTCTCTGGGTCTTTTCTGATATAAACCAAGCTTCACAATTAATGGGCCGAACACGTAGATATTTAGAAAGGATGGACTGATAGTACTCCCCCTTTCTTATGATAAGACCCGTTCCTCTGATCCTTAATTAAAAACTCTCTGTTTAAAATATTAATTTTCCCTCCAAAAGCTTTAATATTTCTCAACCAATTGAACTATCTGTTTTAATTAATGAACTTTATTGAGGATAATTTTAAAATCTTAAAAGCATTAACTAATTTTAGTTGAATTTCTTGTCTTGAATACATTCCACCAAGAGTCATTGGGCTTATTTAGAATATCTTACAAGTATATTTTTAAATGTCATTTACAGAATACAAGATAAGTATGTGAGAGGAGTGTTATCTCAGTTTTTATGAAAGTGTTTATAAGTACTTGTGCGATGTTGATCCAAATAAGCCCATTATTGGATTATCACAAGCTACATTATTGCCTTGATTAATTACAAATTAGTAAGATTGAAAACTTAACAGTGTTTCTTTGATTGATTAATCGCGAACGGGTTAAGGGAATTACACTCATAAGGAGCAACTTGATTGATGCCGATGAGGAACTAAAATATTTCAAAAATAGTACCTAAGGGTCTTTAAATGATCATAATGCCCAAGTTAATTCCTAAAATATTTTTCCAATGTTTTATGATAAAATTTATAAAATAATATACGAATGAAGAAAGTATCAAAGATCGGACTAATAATTGAACTGATCAATACATAATACATGCAAGAGTCAGTGGCCGAATTGGGTTAAACCAAAATCCAAGAAGCCAAAATTAAAATAATTTAATTTAATTGAAATAGAAAATATATTCATATTTGATTATGATTTCTAGCACACAATGTATAAATCCTAATTATTGAGTTGATTTTGATCCTAAATATAAGACATATTTTTTACATTTATTAGTTTTTCCTAAATTAACCTTATAGATACTTTCTCAACCATGATCAAGTAAAAGAATGAAGAATAATATTATAAAAGAAGATTATGGTATTTTAGGAAAAATATGTCATATTTTTTACAATTAATTAGTTACCTAACTTTCTTAATCTAATTAAATTAGTTAAATCGGTCTTATATTAAGGATCGAAGTAATATCATTTTACATCATTATTGGAGCATGCCAATCTTTAAAGGGAAAATTTCAGTTAAGGACCACATAAAACAATTTATATCAGTCAAGGATCAAAACTTTCTGAAATTTCACTGTAGGACCAAGAGACCAAATTGAAATTAAAATTTAGAGTAAGATTATAATAATACCCCTCTCTTTTTATTTATTAAAAAATAAATATTAACGGAAGTTACTGTTCCGACCACCAACGCTCAGGTGGCTGCCGTCGGGGGTTGGACCTCTGGTGGCCGGAACAGTAACTCCGGTAGCCAAAATTTTTTTTGTTTAAAACAAAGTAGCCAATGGAGGGTTTGAACCCATGACTCCTTGACACACCAAAAAACTTGTAACCACCAAGCCAAGTAACCCATTTAATCATATAATGCAAATAAAAATATATATAACAAAACAAACGCAACTGTTCAAATATAAGTGAATAAGTGAAATTCGATGATTTACAAGTGAAATTCAGCATTTATAATAAAAATTAAGCAATTTACAAATAACATAATAGAATTCATAATCCCAAATGCAAGTGTTTAAGTGCAAATGAACAAGTGAAATTTGAAGATTCACAACAAAAGTTTATGGATCTACAATCCAAATTTGGTAAATACAAGAAAATTCACAACCCAAAATATAAATGTTTGAGTGTAAGTGAACAAATGAAATTCGGCGATTTACAAATGAAATTCAGCAATTTACAACAAAAATTAGGCAATTTACAAATAACATAATGAAATTCACAACTACAAATGCAAGTGTTTAAGTGTAAATAAACAAGTGAAATTTAAAGATTTACAACAAAAGTTTATAGATTTGCAAGTGAATTTAGACAATTTACAACAAAAATTAGAAAATTTACAAATAATATAATGAAACTCACAATCCCAAATACAAGTACTTAAGTGTAAATGAGCAAATGCAATTTGAAGATTTATAACAAAAGTTTATAGATTTGCAAGTGAAATTCGACAATTTCACCTGCTCATTTACACTTAAACACTTACATTTAGGGTTATGACTTCTATTATGTTTGTTGTAAATTGCCTAATGTTTGTTGTAAATTGCTGAATTTTATTTGTAAATCGTTGAATTTCACTTGTTCACTTACACTCAAACACTTATATTTTGAATTGTGAATTTTCTTGTGTTTGCCAAATTTGGATTGTAAATCCATAAATTTTTATTGTAAATCTTCAAATGTCACTTGCTCATTTATACTTAAACACTTGCATTTAGGGTTATGAATTCTATTATGTTATTTGTAAATTACATAATTTTTGTTGTAAATTGCTGAATTCCACTTGTAAATCGTCGAATTTCACTTGTTCACTTATATTTGGACAGTTGCGTTTGTTTTGTTATATATATTTTTATTTGCATCATATGATTAAATGGGTTGCTTGGCTTGGTGGTTATAAGCTTTTTGGTGTGCCAAGGGGTCATGGTTTCAAACCCTTCCTTGGCCATTTTATTTTAAACAAAAAAAATTCTGGCTACCAGAGGTCCAACCCCAGGTGGCGGCTGCGCCAGTGGCCGGACCTCCGACCTCCGGTGGCTGAAACAGTAGTTCCGATTAATATTTATTTTTTAATAAAATAAAAAGAGAGGGGTATTATTGTAATCTTACTCTAAATTTTAATTTCAATTTGGTTCCTTAGTCCTGTAGTGAAATTTCAGAAAGTTTGGTCCTTGACTGATTTAAATTGTCTTCTACAGTCCTCAACCGAAATTTTCCCATCTTTAAATTTTGTCATTTAGTAAACGCTTCACTTTTGCACATGCTAATCCAAATTCCAAATCTACACGGTCTTAGGTACTCTATGATCTATGGTTCCAAAAAATAAAAAAACGTTACGATTATTTTATTTCACTACTAAAATTTTGTTGCCTGTCCTTTTTAATAAAATCAATCTTATTGAGTACATGATGAAGGCCATATTTGATATAATTTTTTTATATTTTTTATTTTTATATATGATTAGTTTTTTTTAATATTGCATGAACTTTATTATATGTATGATTACAGCCTGTTTAAGGATAGTAATTGGAGCTTTCAAAAATTTTTCTATCTTCATTACGACATAAGCATGTTAGTGAGTTTTATTTTCACTTATATGAAAAATAGTTATAAATACTTAATAAAATAATAATAATAATAATAATAATAATAGACGGACCTGATTTCTGAGAAACTCCACTGGATTTGACTAGGAAGGGTTACTTCCCACGAACGTAATCGCCTCCCATTGACGTTGACTTCGGTGAGCTGCGGGCGATGCCCTTACTCCGTTGTCGATTTCCCCATAAATTAAAGCATTTAATGAAAGCCGAAAACTTTCGCTGACCAATCGGAGTCACAGACACGAAATGAAGATGAACAGAGACGACAACGCCAAAGCCGTTTCCGGCGACCTCCAGCATCCCTATCCTCCGCCGCCGCAGCAGCAGCCGTACCCACCACCTCAGTATGGCACCTTCCAAGGCGTCTCCAACTATCCGCCGCCTCCTCAGCCCGCGATCGGCTTCCCTCAGCCGGTCCCACCTCCTGGCGTCAGCAACCCGTCAGCTCCTCAGTATTATCCTCATGGCTACCAAGCGTCTCCACCGGGTATGTTTCTAGGTGTCCGCTCCCCCTTTTTGTTTTGACTGATTTGTTGTCTTTGTGGGTTAAGTTGGTGCTTGCGGATCAATATTATTGATTTAATGCTAGAATGAGTGATTTGAAATGGTTTTGGTTGTATTCGATCCAGTTTGTTGCTACGAAATGTTTTCAACTCGGTTAGTTGGGCTTATTTGATTTGGTTTGCTTAATGTAGAACTGTTTATCTTTCCTCACTTTAGTTGAAAGTTGAAACTGATACTTCATTTCTGTAAGGAATAATCTAAATATATTGATAACTTGGTGTTGAAGGCTAAATGGTTTTAGAGACGCTGTTGCTTTATAATTTGCGGTGATCGATCTTTCATTAATGATTTTGCTTTGCCATCATGATCTTCAACTCTAATAGTTGAAGATACTTCGTTTAGAAATTTTTATCATGCTCTGAGTCATGCATATAAATTGTTGGCTCAGCATTCATATTCTAATACCAGGATTCAGTTGCTATGCAAATGATGTATGCCTAGTCTTTTATTTTTACTTCCCTTCAACAGGAGGCGTTGTGACTTAGAAGTCCCTACGGTCAAGGGACGATTTGTCTGATGGTCCTTGGATGGGTTCGTTTGAGCTGATGGAGTTCCTTGTCTGACAGAAGGCATACACTAATTAGTTGGTCATTTTGTTTGTGTTTGAATGCTGAGTCTCATGTTTAGGAATGATCTCACATGAAGTAGAACTAGAGAAAATATTGTTGAGACTTAATACTTGATTGCTTGAGCTTTGAGGTCCATTATGTATGTATTTGGATTAAATTTCCTCTTAATTTCTTGGATCATCCCATGGTATTGATATGCCAATGGTGTCTATGGATATGATGATGCCACTCTGAAATGATAGCAGCCTTCAGTGCTGCTGCATTTGTTGACTAATTTTCTGCAACTTAGGACAATGATGTTAGTTGGCTTGGATATGAGTACAGATGATTAATTAGCGGTAGTTGTTTATTTGAATTTAGAGTCACAGATAAAATGTAGTTCATTGCACTTCATGTCTGAACAAAAATTTACTGAGGCAAACTCCGTAGCTTAGTAGTATTATCTGGCTTAAAAGTCATATTTTTTAACTTTTGGACTCTGGATTCTCATTTTATGTATATACTTGGTTATCCATTTTCCTTTCTGTATTTTAATGAATCCTCTTCACAATAAATCTTAGCTGTTGATTAATACCTCCTTATATGCTAAAAGTATCATCTAAAGGTAAATAGCTTTTTTCATCTCAATTGTCAAAAAGATTTATGAAATGGCATTTAAATAGGATCAACTAAAGAAGAAAAAGAAGTTTTACATAATTTCAAAGACTCTTTATAATATGGTGCATGTTCATCAATCAGTGTTTTTATAATCTAGCATATACTTTATTAAAATACCTTGGTGAATGAAACAGGCATTATATTTTGATGTTCAAAACTGTGAATGGCCTTGAGATCTCCTCTTGCAAATGTCTAAATGAAGCTTAGTTACATAGAGATTTACTATGCATGGTTTGACTTCTATGTAATTTGATTTTTATTTTTTTCCTTGTGTAACGAATATGCTGCTTGCTTTTGATAAATTTCCCTTCGTGTTATTATTTCAGGTTATGCAGTTGTTGAAGGAATGCCTGTGAGAGAGCGTCGGCTTCCCTGTTGTGGTATTGGCTTTGGCTGGTTCTTGTAAGTGATAATTTACATTTCACAGCATTAACTTATAGGCGTATGATTTACCCAAAAAACTTGTAGGTGTATTATAATCATATATAAGTGTTGGTATATATTTGTTTGGTTAGTTTTGAATGTTTCGATCACCATATATTTTAGCCTCAGATTCTGCTAGAGTCTGATTGCCTTTAACTATTTTTTACTACCTGATATGTTCTTTTGCTTAAATTTCCTTTGCTTTTTCTTTTTTGTTTTGTGAATTCAAATCTCAATTTATGCTATTGATTATAAGGAAAATACTTTGATTTTCTATCTATTTTTAGGGATAGGTTTCTGTGAGATTACAACATGCACCAAAACCACAATGGAATTAAAATGTTATCCTTATTTTGTATTACGGTAGTGGGCTACCTGATTGAGCTCAACAGTGAAATTAGCAAATGATTGTGATAACTGATATGTCATTGCCAGCAAAATTTTTCTCATTATGGTTGGTTTTAAAGGATTGGACTTTGCAGTTCATTTTACTCTGGAAGGGGGGAGATGGAAACGGCATGAAATTTGGTCATTTCATGAGACCCTTCCTGAGCATCAACTTAATTGGTCCCCTTCGAGGCAAGCTGCTCTGAGTTTCCGTAGTTTGTATCTATTGGTACCGACAATTTTTTTTTCCTATTACTGCACCCATCCTCTCCGCCCTTCAAAGGAGAAGGGAAAGATGATGGAGCCATTATTTTGATTAGGATCGTGATATTGATTGGTGTGGTTGGCATTTTTTTATTTCTAAGTTGGAGCCATTATTATATGATTCATGATCTCGTCCTGTGCATTAACTGGAGGAATTTTTCTTGGGAGTACTAAGTTAGTTGTAGGTAGTTAAATGGTTTCAGGTTGAGTTACCTGATTATGCAGGCACGATAAGAATAAATTTATCCTGCTACTACATGTTTCCACGCTTCTTATGTAGTTTCATAAACATGCCGGAACTGTTAAGATTTTTGTTTTACATTATATTACATGTTTGATTCTCTAATTCCTCTCTTTTGCTGTCTGGTTATACCATGCTAACCACTTTTTGTTGTTTATATTGAGTTGTTGATTCCAAACGTTTCTTCTCCTTTGAAGGTTTATAATAGGTTTCTTCCTTGCTGCAATCCCTTGGTATGTCGGGGTGATAATTCTAGTCTGTTCCAGCAGACTAGACCACCGAGAGAAACCTGGATATATTGCTTGTACAATTGCTGTAAGTGATTCCCTCTACCTTCCACTTTTGAATTGAAGCAAGTTTCAGCTTCATGTTCTGTATACATTTCCGTAGTGCCATTGCCATATTCAGATTTCACCTTGCCTCCCCAGAGGGTAGCACCGAACAATCTCGTACTCCCTAGTCCCTCTTATAAGGCACTTTGGACTGATTCTCATCAAGGAATAACAGTTAACTCATTAGATCCATCTTAGATTGATAAAAAATTTCAACTTTATCCTTATTAATGAGGTTCTGAAAGAGTGAGAAAAATACAAAGAACCACATTTAAGCATTGATTACCATAGCAAATTTGACAAATAAGCATTAATGACTCTCTAAGTAATTTATATCAAAGACCAAAAAAAAAAAAAAAAAATCCTTTTAGAAGACGTCCTATAATAGGGACTGGGTGAAGCACTACTTTATCCGACTTGATTCTTTTCTGCTTTGAAGCCTCTTGGTCACCCGAGCCTTTTAAGCATTATGCCTCTTTCCCAAAGTTCTTGAAATGATACAAAGTTATAAAGCTCTACAACAATCAAAAAGATGTCTAGGTTGGGGTTCAAGTCTCTTTCTCTGTTGAACTATATTGCAGCGTTTTCCCCATCAAACCGTTCCATGATTCATGAGAAGGGCCTCTGTCTATCTGATTAGATGGCTGATTTTGTGAGACTAATTTTGCAGGCTGTTCTTGCTACAATTGCAATTATTATTGGTGCAACAAGGGGACCACATGACTGGGATTGACTGGTAATTTTCAAATGAAGAGTTATACAGTCTTTTTACTTGGCATTGCATCAAAGTGGGACTTGTTACTGGAATCTGCACTTAAGTTTATGTACTGTGCTTAAAAGCCATATTCATTGTCGCTGATAATCTCCTTCATATGCAATTTCTCCTGTTTGATTTGTCACAATTCGCTTGCTGGTACGTGGTTATTGTAATTATGATTTTAAGGGAAATCGTGTGCTTGTAATAACATATGAAGATGATATTATGTTCTTTATTAACATTTTGTATAAATGTTATTTTTTTCCCGCAAATATTATGAGAAAAACGCTTTGCAATCATTCTGTGTGGGTAATCTGGCGCGTGACCGATGTGGGAACAATAATCTGATTAGACTCGTTTTGATATGTTGTATAATCTCAGACATAAAAAAACAACACTAGGGAAAATGGGTAAAGATAAGAAATAAAAACATAAATTTATGAGTCAATGAATTATAAGAACAAAAAGATTAAAAAATTATATAATAAAATTAAATGAAAGAAATATAAACATAAAGTAAAGAAAATATATTATTTATAAAAAATTTTAAAAAGCTACCCTATGGTACTAATGGAAATGGAAGATTCAGGAGGAAACAAGATGAAAAATTTTAACGAGATCAATTTAAAAGATTTTAAAATGACATTATAAGATTTGAATAAAATGAGAGTGTAAGATAAAAGTGTAAGAAAAATTGACTAAAAATTATTAGCCAAACTTTTTAAATTTCTTAAAATGTTCTATTTTTCTGAGTTGAATATAGATTCTAAGAAATAATTAATTAAAAACAAATTATTTGTTAATATTTATAATAATTTTATAAAATATTAAATTTAAAATATTGATTTTTTTTTTTCCGTTGAACTTAAAGTATTGAAAAGCCATAGCAATGACTAATTTTCTAAGAGTCGGTTTGGTACAAGAAAAACAGAAAGGCCCGAAGGAAAAAATTTAATAAGTTTGATTTAAAAAATTAAAAAAATAAGATTAAAAGATTTTAATTATTTCTTATTACTCTTTTATATTACATTTTTTTAATTAAAATTTTAAAACCTTATTTTTTAATTTTTTAAATTGAACTCATTAAAATTTTTTCTTCCTTCCTCTCCTTTTCATTTCTTTCGTACCAAACAAGCCCCAAGGGATTCGGTGAGTGTTAACTGTCGCCTCATTGTTTCTAATCATAAAAGATAAAACATTGATTCTTTTTTTTTTTTTTTGGTGAATGTGAGATTACGAGGGAAAAAATTAGAAAGAAATAGAGAACCCCAGTCCGCGCGCGCTGCGGCTCAGCAGCTCTCGGTCTTGCTCGAGTCTAGACTCTCGTCTCACTCTCATGGTTAGAGTCTCACTCCTTTCGCTGCAACTCGCAGTCGCATCTTGCCTCTCAGCTCTCAGCCTCGTCCTCGTCTCTCAATTTCTGGCTCTCAGACTCGCAATCGAATCTCGGATCATCTGAATTTGACTCACCACTCTCAGGTACCAATGTTTTTATCCCTCTCTCTGTTCGCTCTATTTCTGGATTGTTATTTAATAAAACTTATTTGTCTCCAGAATTACAGGTTACGAGGCAATTCTAGTTGTTTCATCAACCATGGAGGAGACTGCTAACCACTCAAATAATGGTGATGTTAAGAAAGAGTAAGTTTGTCTGTGTGTTGGTGCGCATTGAAAACTAAATTTTATGAGTGCTTCAATTTTTTGATACTCAGACGCGCATAGGGACATGGTTGGAACTTTGCCAGGTTTATTTTCTAATTTCTTTACTTTGTTTACAGTGATGCACCTCAGCTCTCTGCATTATTGAAAGAAATGAAAGAAGGACTTGATTCTATACGAAGTAAAATTCAGTCTTTAACTGTCAAGGTATTGAAGCATCTGTATTAAGAAACGAAGTTTATTACTTTCTAGCGCTGCTTGCTTTTTCCTTGACTTTATCACAAAATTTATAATGCTATCATTTTGGATTTAACGCATTGGTTCTTACTTAAACTATTTTTCTCGAGACTTCTTTCTACCGTTGCCCCTTTAGCATGTCTAAAATAATTTGTTCCGTGTCTCTTATATCAGGTCAAACAAAATGAGTACCCTACCGCGGAGGGATTTAGCTATCTTGAAGCTAAAAATTTGCTGCTCCTGAACTATTGTCAGTCCCTTGTCTATTATTTGCTCCGAAAGGCTAAAGGGTTATCAATAGAAGGACATCCTGTTGTGCGAAGTATTGTGGAGATTAGATTATTTTTGGAAAAGGTCAGGTTCAGTTCTCTGTCCTACCCTTGAAGATCATTTAGAAATGTATATTCTGCGTTTAACAAATTACACATCCTCATCTACTGCAGATTCGGCCAATTGACAAAAAACAACAGTACCAAATACAAAAATTAACAAAGGCTAGTGAGAATGTGAAGGGAAATGTTATTGCAAATGAGGAGCCAGTTGCACCCAATAAGAGTGAGGATGTATCAAAATATCGCCCGAATCCTGACATGCTTGTTAGCAAGTTAGATAACCAATCTCAGGTGAGTGATTAATAATATAGAATTCAGTAATGGTGGCATTATGAAGCTAGACATCTTGATTTTTCCTCTCTTGACATAATTACTTCATATTTTAGGATGGTGATGCTGTGTATCGTCCTGTAAAAATTGCACCTACTTCTATGGAGTTAGATAAGACATCAAAGCAGGAAAGAAATGCATTGAGAAGAGAGAAAGAGATTCTGAGGCAAGCTAAGCAGAGTGATTATATCAGGTCATTGATGAATGACATGGAGGATCGGCCTGAAGAGGTAACCTATTATTTTAGTTTGAGGCTTGAATGATAATGATTCAATGAGTTTAGTTGTTGTATTATTTTGGCTGCATATTACACAGGTCAGGGATTTCATGGGAACTAGCAGGGAAGTTGAAAAACATGTTGCCAAGATGGAGGACCGTGCCCAACAAGAAGAGGAGCTCTTCACTCGAGTTCCACTTTCAAAGATGGAAAGGAAGAGAGATAAATACTTGAAGAAATCAAGAAACGGGTATGAAAATTGCCTGGATTGTTCTCTTACTATTCTAACAAACATAAAAAAGTGTTGAATGTGAAGATATTTTATACACACATTTCCCCCCTCATTGTTAATTGTTAATTTTTTTCCAGGTTGCAAGGTCTGACAGAGAGTTTCTTTGACGAAATCAAAACATTACCCTTTGGGGATAAAAGTGGAGAGCAAATGGTGGGCTCTAGTAACAATGGTAGCAGGAAAGGGGGACTGAAAAAGCGAAAGGCATGCAACTTATATTTACCTTTTAAAACACAAGTATCGTGTTACTTGAGCCACGGCTCGTGCTTTATATTTGTTTGTTCATCCATTATCCCATCCGAATGGGATTTAACAATGCTATTACCTACCCCCCCTCCCTGTTTTGCCTGAACAATTTTGTTGCCTATTCATTCACCAGATGTTTCTATAACATTTTGGTTCTCTAGATGCAAGGGTGAGTGGATTATTTCCCCTTACTGTCCTTTGAAATATTATGTATGGAAACCCATTAACCTTGGTCAAAATCACGTTTTAACTAGAGTGAGTTACATAGGAGTAGTTTTGTCTCGAAAGTTACTAAAATCCGTTTCCAACATGGAAACTTGATGAAACCATATCAATAGAGTTTTGGAATTGACATTTTTGTCTTATTTGCAGAGGAGACATTGAAGCTTGTTTTCACCTCAAAGAGTGGATGAAGTTGCTATCCAGAAATCGCGTATTGTGGCTTCGGGAGGAGGTAGTAGGGATGTAGGGAGGGCCTTGATCTATCTTGCCCAAATTTTTCGTTTGACCATTTTGGATCTTTTTGTTTCGAAGATATATTAGTTGGTCATCTTTAGTCCTTGTATCAAATCTTCAATCTAATGTCTCATTGATGATGTAATTTTTTATTAGGAAGATAGATTTGTCAGTCCTTATAGTTTTATTGGATTTTGAATTATGTTCCTTTATTTTTATTTCTTTTTATTGAATCCTTATACTTTATTCTGTTAAAGCCACAAGTCCTTCTGTTAATAAATTCTCAAAACACTGTCAGTTGGTCTCTCTCTCCTGTTAAAAGCGGGTGGCTCTTTGTCATCAGCCATAACCAATTCGATGATGACGCCGAGAAGGAGAGTTCTTTCTTCAACTGGTTCTGCTTCTCCATCAATATCGGCGTGTTGCTTCTATATTGTTGTGAATGTCGATGCTAATTGATGAAGGTTATGTGCAATTCTGCACATTTGTACACGACTCTGACTTAACTATAAGAAAGCCTAGCAGCTCCCATTAGAGTCTTCTATATTTGTAATTTATTGTTTAATATCTTGTTTTGTTACTACCTTTGCACACTATTTTATGAAAGCTTTTTTTCTTAACGATGTTAGAGGAGTTTGATAGTTTCTTTCAAACTTTTGTTATTGAGACCCTTGCATTATTCTATAAAAGAGCATTGATTTTTTAGTTTCAAGTGCTTATGACCTTCGGCAATATTAATTTATGATTTTAGATCGATCAACGCCAAAAAAGTAACAATAATTATTAGAGTTTTAGGGATGTGGCTGTTTGGAGTGTCTAGAGGTTAAGGATGATGATCACCTAGTTCATAAGAGTTAGAGACCTGCTGATCCCACATACCTCGTTCCTCAAAGACCCTACCTTTATGAGTTGGAACCCACTAGCAGGATCCCACATGTGCCAGCCCTACCTCCTCCCCTCTTAGCAGAAGGCTCACTGTTGGAGAAATAGCAAGAAGGAGCACGTCGATATTGATGGAGAAGAGCCAGTTAAAGAAGGAGCTCTTCTTCTCCTTCTTGGTGTCATCATGAAACTGGTCATGGCTGACGAGAGAGAGAACCACCGGCTTTTAACGGGGAAGAGAGAGCAACTAACGGTGTTTTAAGAATTTATTAATGGAAGGACTTGTGACTTTAACAGAGCAAAGTATTAGGATTTAATAAAAAGAAATAAAATTAGAGGGATCTAATTCAAAATCCAATAAAACTATAAGGATTGACAAATCTATTTTCCTTTTTTTATTTATTGACCATTGATAATAAGAGTTAATCCAATGCTTCCGAGCTTGTCATTGCTTTCCCTAATTTTGCCAATTGGGCATTGATTCCGCTTGGTCATTGAGATTGAACAAGTTTCTTTTGATGTTTTGAAAATGAAACCTGTCATTCTGCCTAACTACGTCCCTCTTATTTAAACTCAACAAATACTCGAATCTGATCTAATATCAAACACTGCAGATCAAACATTATCTTCATTCATAAATATAAAATCTAAAGTAACAATAATTTATTTAATTAAGATATTTAGATACACACAAAAAGCTAGGCAAAGTTGGAACAAGCGAAACAACCGCACATATCGTTGGTGACACAATATCCACGAGCATAACCTTTGACGCGAGTACAAAAGTGCGAGCAATCTTTGTCTTTGCAGTTAGGTGTTTGGAATGCGCCACGAGGACAGTTCCGAGTTTGTTGTTCACTTGCTGCCTGCGCCTCAAGACCTGGTCAAAAATTGTCATCATAAAAAAATGCCTCATTTTAATAGTATGCTAAAAAAATTGGAATCTCTAAATAATACTTTCTCAGATTCAAAATATAAATCCCTCTTGTTTAAAGCAATTCTATTTAAGGTATCGTTGAGTACTAAATATGACTCCTTCCAGCAGATATTCAAATATTGGCTCATCATATTGTAAGAGATTAGTTTTTTTGGCTAGATTCAAGCCCATTAGTCAGTCACTTATTTTTTGTTCCTGTGAAGTGGGGGAAAGTGACTTATATTTTGGACTAAAGAGCAAGCTAGGTTATCAGAATCATGAGTTTATGAGTAAACTTATGACAAAAATTTAGACTCAGATTGTAAATATATATATATATATATATTTAAGAGTTCAAAAACAAAAAATAACTGGGAATCTATTCTTACCGGTAATGAATAAGAGAAGCATAAGAACGACAATGACCTTGCTGCTTTTTGTAGAATTCATATTTGGAGAATATGATTTGGAGTGAAAATATGAAATGTGATGAGATCAAGCGGGATGCAAACTGTTTCTTTATATACAGCTTGGAGAGATTGCTTGACATTTAATTTCTCGGGTTTTCTTCCAAAAGCAGTTGATTATAAATCATTAAATTTCTTGGATTTTCTTCCAAAAGTAGTTTATTAATTATACAAATATGTATTTTTTTTTCCTTACGAGAAGTTGATGAGATATATATATATATATATATATATGTATCTGATAAATTGCCTATTATTTATTTTAGGATTTTCTTCCAAAACTAGCAGGTTATGAGGTTTAGTTTAACAAAAAAGAAACAGATGGTAAATCACTATCAATGAATCATCAATCGATAAACTTTGTTCTTAAAATTTTGTAATAGCCAGTTGAATTAAAAGTGGGTCGGTAGGGTTTAGCAATAAATATCAATAAATACTTTCAATGCCACACGTTAAAAACCAATATTAAAAAAATTAAATGAATACCTTCAACGCCATTCCAGTGGTCAGTTATTAGCAGAGAGAATGGCTATAAAATTAAATGCATAATAATAGCTATTAATTGAAATATTTATCATTCTGTTATTATTTATAGATACTTGTATCCCAAGTCCACAAACTAAAAAATGCATTAAATTGATACTTCTTTGATTCTATTTATAAGACACTTCCAGCATATTTCACACGGACAAAAAAAAAGCCTTAAAATGCATTAACTCTCCATTAAAATATAACAATTTTCCAACTTTACCTCTATTTAATATATATATCTTTCAAAAAAGATAACTATCTACATTATAATAAATGAAGGATGAAATATTACATTCACATTAAAAATTTAATGAAGTGACTTATAAATAGGACAAAAAAAAATCTTCTCTCTCTGCCTTATAAATAAGACTAGAGGAGTAAATTCTTTCACATTTATCCTCATTAAAAAATGATATTAAAATTATATTATATATTTTCTCTCACCTATTTACTTGATATCTCTATGCATTTATCAAGTTAACAGGGGTAAAAACTGGAAAAAAAACTCTTTAATTGCTCTACAAGTGACTTATGTTTAGGAATAAACTTTTTTTTTATAAATAACTTATAAATAAGAGCAAAATAGAGTATCTAAATAACTTACATTGTATATATTAATAAAATCATATTGTCAAATATGATTATTTGAAAAAAATACATCAGCATAAATGAATGGAAAATACGGAATCATCTCCATAAGCAACCAATTAGAATAAATTCATTACTCTTTAATTGCATTAGAGATTTTTAAAAATTATAAAAAAAAGAAGTTATTGGGATATTAGTACCCAATAACTTATACTGTGTATATTAATAAAATCAGATTGTGAAATATGATTATTTGGAGTGGGGAAAATGCAGCCTTTGTTAATGAAGTTTACATCTTACAGAAACAGTGGCTGCATTGTATTACAATTGAAATTGTTGGTATGCCCTGATTTTTGCTATCTCTTGACCTTTTGTTATTGTTGGCAAATTAACGTATACATTTGAACTTTCAACAACATGAGTCCTTCGTTAAACTTTTTACATTGGGCTTAGGCTAAAATGTTTCTTAAAAAAATCAAAAATTGAATTGTCCAAAGCCATGGATGTAATTGAAGAATTGTATGCTACCTAGCTAGAGAAACTTTCTTAGCTATGGTTTGTCAATAAACACATGGGAATCATCTTAGCCAGGATTTAATTAATTTCAAGATTCTTCGTTTTAATGCGACTCTACACATATCTAGTTGATAATTTGGCTCTGAAAATAGATTTCATTTGTAAATACTAAATAGGTAAAATTAAAAATTTCTTGAATCCCCAATGAGAGAGGTTATCGCATTTATTGTCAGATAGTGTCTTGAACAAGATTATCTCCAATAAGAGTAAGCATGTGCTTATTAAAAAAAAACTTATTCTTATTTATAAAAAGAATAAGTAAGAGAAACAATAAATGAGAAAAATGATGAAATAGAATGTATGGAGAAGGATGATAAAAAAGTATGGCGAAGAACATAAGTAAAATTAGAAAAAAAAAAATTAAATAATCTGACAAATGTAGTTATTAAAAAAGATCTAATCTTTCAAAAGTTTGATCCTTATATTTTGAACCGGAAAAGGCACTTAAACACGACTATAATGCCGTAGTTAAATTAAAAATAACCATTGACTTGGGAGAAGGGGTGTGAAATGTATTTTTCCACACCGAATAATGAAAAGAATGGTATAGCGATTTAAAATTCTAAGAAAAGAAGGGGAAAACAAAAGATCTTTCAAAAAGCATATGGCCATGAAAGGATAATGAAACTTGTTATGACAGAAACTAATTTATAATTTGTTTTTGGCTTTTTGCAAACTGAAAAACATATGGCCATGAAACTTTTCCATGGACGTAATCGCTTCCCATTGACTTCGCTGACCTGTGCTGCTGCTACGTATACCCCGGGGGGGGGGGGGTCCTTGCATCCCGCTTAATCTCCTCTTGAAGATGAAAGTTGTCCCCCATCGTCTCACTGGCCAGCCTTGACCCTATTATGTTGAGGTCATCTCTAGTATTTAGAGTTTGCCTCCATTTGGTATCACTCTTGCGGCCCGCACTAGGGACGAAAGTCAGCCTTAGTGATCTGATAGATCTCTAAGTAACTAAGCTTCATTTATCCATTTGCAAGCTATATTATTTGATTTTGATGATCTTTTTTTTTTCTTTTGTTGGTGTAACTAATTAGTATTGCTACTTGCTTTTGATAAATTTTCCTTGTGTTATTATTTCAGGTTATGCAGTTGCTGATGGAATGCCTGTAAGAGAGCCTCCACTTCCTTGTGGTATTGGCTACGGCTGGTTCTTGTAAGTAATTAATAATTTACATTATTTCACATCATTAACTTGTAGGCGTATGATAATCATATTTAAATTTTGTTATCTATTCGCTGTTTGGTTAGTTTTGAATGTTTTTTTCCTTTTAATTTATAAGTTGGAGCCATTATTAATTATCACAACTAAGTGATTTAAGGAATTTTTCTTTGGAGTGACAAGTAATTAAGTTGGAGGTAGTCGAATAGTTTCAGATTGAGTTACCTAGCTAATTATGCAGGCACCGGCCATAAGAATATATTTAGCCTTCTAGCACGTTTTCACTTTTCTTATGTATAGTTTCATAAACATGCTGTAAGTGTTAAGGTTTTTGTTTCTTTTATTATCTGGTTATATTCCCTTCGGACCTAAATATAAAAGCCAGATAACTAACTTACAGATATTAAAAAAATTAGTTAAGTTAGATATTTGTAACAAACATGTATTGTTTTTCTTAAATACTACCATCTGACCATCACCCCATTGATGGAAACTCCTTTTTATATATGCAATCAATAAAGATAGTTTAAAAAAAATTACAAAATCAGAAACAAAATGAACTGTGGCCTTTTATATATATATATATATATATATATATATATATATAGAAGACTTAACTAAACACCTGACTAGCTTTTATATTGAGTTTGTTGATTCCGAAGGTTTCTTCTCTTGTTAAGGTTTATATTAGGTCTCTTGCTTGGCGCAATTCCTTCGTATGTTGGGGCAATACTTCTTTGCTTTTCCAATATAGGCCCCAGAGAGAAACCTGGATGTATTGCTTGTGCAGCTGCTGTAAGTGATTCACTTTAATTTACTCTAACCTCCCATTTTGTTTTTGAATTAAAGCAAGTTTTAAATGGGTTAAAGAACAAAAATACCCACAAAATTTTCTCTTACGGGCACACATCTAGCATCCTAAAGTTTTTAAAGGGACAAAAATACCCACAATATTGTTTAATGGCCTAGGGGATTCTGCCCCTTTTATTGGAACTTCATATATATGTATATATGTCCCTTTAGAAGGCTTAATTAGGATGCGAAATTTTGTAGATATTTTTGTCCCTAACCATATTCAAATTTCATATTGTTTCAGAAAAGGGAAGTACCAAACAATGTTGGATTATTTCATTCGATCGACTTGATTATTTGTCCCTTTAGAAGGCTTAATAATAATGCAGCATTTTCCCCATCAAACTATTCAAGTACCTCAGTTTATACTAGATGACTACTGGTCTTGTGACATTGATTTTGCAGGCTGTTGTTGTTACAATTGCAATTGTTATTATTGCAATAATGCATTAATGGAAGCACATCACTGAGATGACTTGTAATATAATTTTCAGAGAAGTGCCTCTGTTTCATATTATACTGAACCCACGGGTTTTATATATATATATATATATATATTAATGGGAGGTTGAACGTGTTTCTTTAATATTGACTTATGAAAGGCATATGATACACATGGGTTACATGTGTGTTTTTATATTATATATCCTACTCGAGACCTGCATTTTACCACACTTGTGTGTCCTTGAATTGAACTGACGGATAGTTACCAAGACATTCCATCCTCTACTTCTATACTACCTCCGATATCCTTGATATAATACCTAAATAACTAATTTATGAATATTAAGAAATTTACTTATTTATAATGAACGAATGTTGTCTTTTCTAAATGTCTTTGTTAATCATGTGTATTGGAATTACTTCTTAATGAAAACTCCTTAATTAACATGTGTAATATCCCCGTAATGATTACTTGAGAGCAAAATAGATAAATATTAGAAACAAAATAGATTGATATCTTATATTTAGAACTAAATTAAATCTCCAACAAGCTATTATATTAAATACCAAAGGTGATAAATCTTTTTCTTGGGATTGCATCAAATTAAAAGTAGACTCGTTACTGGAATCTGCACTGGAGTGTACATATACTGTGCTGTGTTTAAAGCTGATTACCTTCTTAGATTCCTCTGGAAGGCTTGAACTCCTCTTTCCTGCTCTCATTATCTTATAATTAGGACCAGAGGTAGTATAATATACTAGTCGCCGCCATAATGCAGTTCTTCACAAGATTGATAACGTTAGAAGGCAAGTCATTCTCTTCCAACACTCTCACCAGAAAACCCAGCTCATCGTGTCATATATCCCTTTTTTAGATCAATTTCAATTATTATATATAAACCCCTTTCTACCTCGTGTCTTTCCCATAATGTGAATCACCTCCTTAGGGATGGCTATGTTATCCTAGATATTACGCTCAGGAATAAAGCTGGATTGAAATCGGGACATAATTTTATCCGTTATTGGTTGAAGTCTTTGCACCAATAGCTTTGAGATCCCCTTTTAGAGAAAATTACATAATGAAATTGGTCGAACTTGAGTCACCCTTCCACTTTAGGAACCAAAACCAACAAAGTTTTATTTAATTTTGCAGGTCACTACGGGCTTCGCCAAGGCCACCACATCGTTTCCTATAATCTCCCAATTTTTTTCATAGAAGATTGCTAAGAAATCGTCATCCTCTTCATAGAAAAGTTTTTGAAAAATTAAATTCTTTTTAACAAACCACAAAGATAGATGGACGACAAGAATGTGCAATAAATAAAAAGGAGATGATTTAACCAATTTTTAAAAGTTTCTCATTTAACCCCTGCAATTTATTTATTTAATCTCTTGATGCTACCAAATATTAAGAGACACCGCAAGTGTATCAGCCGTAAAAATAGACAGTAGTAAATCAAGGTCGATCCCACAGAGAACTCAATTAATCAGTAATTAGACAATAAAAATCTTCTTTTCGTTTAAGTTGAGTAAATCAAAATTGAGTAAAATTGAGTTAAAAAAAAATTTTAAATAAACAAAACAAAACTTTCTTAAATTAACTAGACAAATATTAAAAAGAACAACCTAGAGTTACTAATCTCTTGTTAGCTTCTTAAATCTTGTTTCACTGAATTGATGAACTTTAATGTCAATTTTGTTAATCTAGAATTCAATTAGCTACAAGTGCCTGTCGCTCTATTCATAACCCTCTTTTAAATTAATTATGTAATCTCTCACATAATTATCTAAGAGGCTAAACAAATCAGTCTCACTTATTAACAATTATACAGGGTAATTAGGTATATTTCTATTATAATCACAAATTAAATTATCATCCAATCCTATATTACTTAATCTAAGAGCTTAATTAAAATCTCCTTTGTCAAGGAAAACTTGAATTTTCAAATTCACGATTAATGGTGGCCAGTCATCAAATGGACAATAAAGAACAAGATTAAGTAACCAAAATCTAACATTAAGCATCCTCACTTCAACAAAGCTCAATCCACTAACAAGTTCACAGCTCCCTAGGCTGTAAAGAGAAAATTAGCTACACATGAATTTAATCAGTCTCCGCTCTAAAGCAACAATCTCACATTCAAAAACCATAGCGAAATGCAGGAGTAAAGGAAGGAGGAACCAAAACAGGGAAACAGGGAATCAAAATATTGGTCAGGTATAGCTCGAGTGTTTCCAGATTGAAGATGATGAACAGTTGCTCTTCTTGCTCATCCGGTAACCGAGAGCGCCTCTCTCTTTTCAGATCAGAAAATCACCGTGCCCAGTCTCTCCTCTCCAGCTCCGTCGAACTCGTCCTCCTCAGAACCATTCTCTGCAACTGCGTCCCTCTAGTCCAGAACCAGCATTGGCGACCTCCTCTTGTCTTTGACCTCCTCTGCTGAACCTGTAGACCAGAGCCCCCAAACCGCAACCTCCAGTGTTCGCCTCTATCGCCCCCTGAACCAATCGAACCAAAGGGAGGGCAAGATGATACCCGGACAGTCCGGCCTCCAAGACGATCATGAAAAGTCTACCTAGGTCTCCCCGGATTCAAAAATTCTTCTCCAAAACGTTGTCGTCTCCAGCTCTATAATCAGCACGTGCTCCTCATGATCCCATTCAAGAATTCCCCAAACGCTGCGTTGATGCGTGCTGAAGGAAGGAGAAGAAAATAAAACAAATAAAAGGAAAAGCTCAAATGAAAAGGCAAGTAAAATAAAAGGAAAGGAAATAAACTATAAGGCGGTTGAAAGTGAATTACATTTTGGATAAAAGGGCAAGCTAGGCTATCAGAATCATGAGTTTATAAGTAAACTTGTGACAAAAATTTAGACTCAGATTGTAAATATATATATTTAATAGTTGAAAAACAAAAAATAACTCAGAATCTATTCTTACCGGTAATGAAAAAGAGAAGCATGAGAATGACAATGATCTTGCTGCTCTTTGTAGAATCCATAATTGGGGAATATGATTTGGGGTAAAAATATGAAATATGATGAGATCAAGCGGGACGCAAACTGTTTCTTTATATACAGCTTGGAGAGATTGCTTGACATTTAATTTCTCAGATTTTCTTCCAAAACAACTTGATTATAAATCACTAAATTTGTTGGATTTTCTTCCAAAAGTAGTTTATTAAATAATATGTATTTTTTCGCTCTGAGAAGTTGATGATATACATATGTGTGTGTGTGTCTGATAAATTGCATATTATTAATTTTACGATGGCTCCAGTTCAACATGCAGAATAACTTGGGTACGGTGAGTGATGATTGGCGCTCCCTGTTCATTACTATTTGCTGGCTACTGTGGAAAGCACGAAACGACTTGGTTCATCCGAACAAAATCACTGACCTCCATTCTATCCCAAAGAGAGCCGATGCAATCCTAAAATGCATGATGAACTCGGCCAAGAAACTCCAGGGGGTTAGAATGAACGCCCCTCAACAGAACTCAACGAAGCTCACCCAGGATACGCCTTCGGATGCTTGTGTGGTGGAAGTCGATGGTGCATTCTCAGCCGTCACCCACACCGTGGCCTGTGGTGGCATCATCAAGCAGAACAATATGGGAGTTCGTGAGGGCTTCATGATGAAACTAGACAAAGGCGACCATGTTACAGCCGAAATCTGGGCTTGTTTATTGGGTATGAAGCGTGCATGGGACTTGGGATATCAAAATGTGATCTTACGTTGCGACTCCTCAGAAGTCATCGAGACGTTCAAGAAGGATGACAACAGTTTGCATGAAGACTGGCAAAGCATCCACAAAGTCCAGGAGATGATGCAGTGGAATTGGCAGATTAACTTCCAAGCGATAAGCAAAAATGAAAACAATACAGCCGACTACCTCGCCAAAACTGCCCTCAACGGAGCCTTGGGCCTGCAAATCCTGAGCAGTGAATCCATTGCTGCCATTTTAGGCCATCACGTTGTACCTTAATCTGTGTTTTGTTGTTCTAGCCTATAAAAAAAGGGGTTTAGTTTAACAAAAAGGAAACAGACAGTAAATCAATATCAATGAATCATCAATCAATAAACTTTATTCTTAAAGTTTTTGTAATAGCCAGTTGAATTAAAAATGGGTCGGTAGGGTTTGGCAATAAATATCAATAAATACTTTCAACGCCGCACACTAAAACCAATATTAAAAAAAAAAATTAAATGAATACCTTCAATGCCATTCAAGTGGTCAATTATTAGCAGAGGGAGAATGGCTGTAAAATTAAATGCGTAATAATAGCTATTAATTGAAATATTTATCATTCTGTTACTATTTATAATTACTTGTGTCCCAAGTCTACTGACCAAGAAATGCAGTAAATTGATAAATTCTTTCACATTTATCCTTATTAAAAAATGGTATTGAAATACTCTTTTGGTCCTATTTATAGGGCGGAGAGAGAACGTATTTTTTGGTCCTATTTATAGGGCACTGAGAGAAATTTTTTGTACGAATGTATAATTTTACCCATCATTTATTATTTTGTTGACTTTGTTTATATGAGGTATAATATATATTAAATAAGGATAAAGTTGGAAAGTCATTAAATTTTAAATGAGAATTAATGAAATTTAAGGTTTTTCTTGGTCTGTATAAAACATGCTCGAAGTGCCTTATAAATAGGACCAGAGTATATTTTATATTTTCTCTCACCTATTTACTTGATATCTCTATGCATTTATCAAGTTAATGGGGTAATACTGGAAAAAAGACTCATTAAATACTCTACAAGTGACTTATATTTAGGAATAAACTTTTTTCTTATAAATGATTTATAAATAAGAGCAAAACAGAGTATCCATATAACTTACATTGAATATATTAATAAAATCATATTGTCAAATATGATTATTTGAAAAAAAAAATACATCAGCATAAATGAATTGAAAATACCGAATCATCCCCATAAGCAACCAATTGGAATAAATTCATTACTTTTTAATTGCATTAGAGGTTTTTAAAAATTAAAAAAAAAAGTTATTGGGATATCAATACCCAATAACTTATACTGTGTATATTAATAAAATCAGATTGTGAAATATGATTACCTTGGGGGGGGGGGATGCAGCCTTTGTTAATGAAGTTTACATCTTACAGAAACAGTGGCTGCATTGTATTACAATTGAAATTGTTGGTATGCCCTGATTTTTGTTATCTCTTGACCTTGTGTTATTGTTGGCAAATTAACGTACATTTGAACTTCCAACAACCTGAGCCCTTCGTTCGACTTTTTATATCGGGCTTAGGCTAAAATGTTTCTTAAGAAATCAAAAAGTAAATTGTCCAAAGCCATGGATCATGGATGTACTTGAAAAATTGTATGCTACCTAGCCAGAGAAACTTTCTTAACTATGGTTTGTCAATAAGCGCATGGGAATCATCTTAGCCAGGATTTAATTAATTTCAAGATTCTTAGTTTTAATGCGACTCTACACATATTTAGTTGATAATTTGGCTCTGAAAATAGATTTCATTTGTAAATACTAAATAGGTAAAATTTAAAAGTTGTTGAATCCCCAATGAGAGAGGTTGCCACATTTATTGCCGGACAGTACCTTGAACAAAATTATCTCCAATAAGAGTAAGCATGTGCTTATAAGAAAAAACTTATTCTTATTTATAAAGAGAACAAGTAAGAGAAACAATAAGTGAGAAAAATGATGAAATAGGATATATGGGAGAAGGATGAAAAAAAAATATGGCAAAGAACATAAGTAAAATTAGGGAAAAAAAATTATTAAATGATCAGACAAATGTAGTTACTCCTCCGGTCCTTAACATAGGACCCAATTGTTGAGTTGATTTTGGTCCTAAATATAAGACCCATTTCTCATATTTATCAATTTTCTCTAAATTACCCCTATGTATACTCTCTCAACCATAATCAAATAGAAGAGGAATAGGGTGTAACATCCCATTTTTTTTAATTTATTTTTTATTTGTTTGGGGACTTAGTACGGGTAGTGTTATGTATAAAAAATTATTATAAAATAAAAGAGAAGGGAAACAATATATTTAGATGTAAAGATTAAATAGAAAATAAGAATCTGAAATAATTAAAGAGAGCTATGTATAAATATTTAAAGATAAATAAAAGGAGGATAAAATATTTAAAAATATTATATTTAGGAAAGAATGGTTTAAATTTTAAATTACCATATCTGATAGGATTTTGATAATAATAAGAATAATAAGTAAGATCAGATGAGATATAGAAATATAAGATTATATGAAAAAAAAAATTTAATTTGAATTTTATAAGTTTTAGGGATATATTTTAGAAACCTAAAACCTACTCCTACTCCCATCTAATATCCTTATCAGCCGTCACACTCCCAAAAACCCTTCTCTTTTCTTACTTCCTCTAAATACATTCACGTTGCCACAAGCTCTTGATGACTTTTGGAAGATCTCACGCAGGTGTGAATTTGCTCCTTCTCTTATTCTCTTTTATTGATTTTCGCTCTCCCATTGTCTTTCCCTCACGTCTCTCTTTCTTTTTTTTTTTGGTGTCTAATCACCCTTCCTCATGTCAGAAGCATCTCACGCACATGGTCACATATAGATACATATATTAGTAGGTAGAGGGGAGTGGTTACACACACACACGCCACGCGCGCGCGCACACACACACATGAATTGGTAGGTACGGAGGAGTAGGATGCACTTGAATAAACAAATTAAATAAATTTTTGATGGTGATATACTTGAATTAAAAGTAATAATGTCTAGATCTGTTGTCAAAGTTTGAGTGAACTCCGTTATTTTGGTCTTCGGCATTTTCTTTGGTCTTGGATAATTTCTTTCTTCAACCCATAGTTTTAGGTACCTACACAATATGAGACTGGTTTAATTTAGAATCTGAAGGCTTAAGAAATTCTAAGGAGACCGCAAGACTTTCATATAATTAGTTATCATAGTGAGCTAAATAAATTATAATGGAATATGAATCTAGAAGAAGCTGTACGTTTCCATGGGGTAATACTAAGGCTTTAGGATAGTTTTAAAGAAATTAGGTTCTAATAGTCAAAACTGTATGTTAATATTATACATGTGATTTTTGTAGCCTCTTACGGAGAACATTGATTGTTTGGAAAATTGCTATTTGAATCCTTGTGGCTAAAGGATAACAGGTAACGTGAATTCTATTCATCTTACTTACTGGTGACTCCTATGAGTTCCTTTCAAAGCATGACAATTTATGAGGATGATTTGATTATCGTTTTACGAAAAGATTTATCAGGAATTATGGCGACCTTTTATAGATTTTAAATTAGCCTTGTGGGACTTTATTTTGTTGAAGAGGAAATTCTTGTTGGAACTTTAGGAACTAGATGAGAGGACCATGTTTGCCATAGTGAGTGGCCCATCTTAGAATTATTTATTTACTATTTATCATGTATTATTTATTAAATTATTATTTTTAGTTATCTGTGTTGGTTGTAGAAATTTATATGGTGCTGTGGCAAACCATATTGAATGAGCATGAAATTGTGAAATATCGTCTTGTGTATTATAGTTGAGAATGTCAGATATAAATTGAATAGCTATGGATGTGAATATGATAAATTACTATGAATTGTGATTGGATAATATTATGGGGAGGAGATTGTGCAGAAGCATATGATATTGTGACCACGTGGTAGGCCGCCATAGGGTGCTCTATGGCTGGCCCATATTACCAGGGCAGTAACCCTGGACTTGCGACACTCCAAAGGTATCCCAGGATAGTAACCCTTTCTGGAGGAACCCATGGCCCTTGTGTGCTCTGTCGACTTTGGCTGGTCCGCATCACACTTGCGGGAAGCTTGTGAGAGTCAGTTATGACGTGGGTAGCAATTAGCCCATGGGTTCAGTCGGTAGTTATAAGGAGGTTATAAGGTGGAACTGGAAATTTAATGTATTGTGATAATGTGACAATTATGCTGCATTTTATTTAGTTTGAATATTATGACCTAATGTGATTTTGAATGATATGCCTGTCTGCGTGCTATTCATATGCTATTGGTAACTATTGATTTTTGAACTGTTAGTCCTACCTGGCATCTTGTAAGGGTACTGGTAGGTAAGATGGGTAGAATTTATGTTACTGAGACAGTGGTCTCATTCCGTTACTTCACCAATTTCAGGTGAGAGCAGCAGGGGAGATGTAGCGGGGAAGGCACTGTAAGCGTGAGGTCACTTACACTAGTGACTGCGCTTCGATTCTAGAATTTATGTTTGGTTTACGTTTAATTGCCACCTAGGAGCCATGATGTTCTTTAAACTGTTATTGGCTTATTTTGGACTTGTTATTACTACTAGCATGTTTTGCTTCTTTAGCTATTGATATTTTTATTGATTTCTTTAGGGGCCTTAGACCCACAACTGAACATTGCGGCAATTGCATCTGAATAAGTGGGTCATTTAGTGATACTTTTATTGTGATTTATTTTATATAATGTCTATGTTAACCAAGTATGTTGGGGATTTAAATAACCATGTTAGGGGTTAAGCTTTTTTTTTTTCTAACATGGTTAAGGTGAAGTAGTAAGTTTGATTTTTTTTTTTTTATAACCATGATATATGCTTGGGTATGGTATTTCTTTTTATATATCATGGTTATTTAGTGAACTAAAATGAAAGTTAAGATTCTTCTTTTATGTATCTTAGTAAACACATGCATGTGCTACTTGTATGTTTAAGTATAACATAGCTGTATGTGGGATATTACATAGGGGGTATTAAGAAAGATAATTATAGTATGTTAGGAAAAATGTGCATGTCACATTTCTTATAATTAACCAACTTACCTAACTTTCTTAATCTAATCAAATTAGTTAAATGGGTCTTATATCAATGACTGGAGGAGTATTAAAAAAGATCTAACCTTTCAAAAGTTTGAAAGCTTATATTTTGAACCGGAAAAAGCAATTAAACAAGACTATAATGCCATAGTTAAATTAAAAATAACCCAGTGAAATTTGGATCCAATTTCAGTGCTCATCACTTTGATGAACACCATAAGCTCATCAGATCTGGACGGTCTATATCTCATTTGGATGGTTCAAATTTAAAATGTTTAATTATTTATTTTTAAATAGAAAAAACATTTTTTTTGAAAGAATGATAGTTAAGAAATTATCCCTATTTTAGATTCTATACATATTAAAATAATTATTTTGAATAAATAAAAATAAAAAAGAAATCAAATCGAGACCATCAAAATGAGACATAGACGGTCCAGATCTAATGAGTTTAAGGTACTCATCAAAGTGATGAGCACCAAAACTGGTTCAGTGAAATTTGGAGGAGGGGTGTGAAATGTGTTTTTCCATACCGAATAATGAAGAGAATGGCACAGCAATTTAAAATTTAAAAAGAAAAAAAAAGAAAGAAAATCGAAAAACATATGGCCATGAAACTTTTTCAAGGACGTAATTGCTTTCCATTGACTTTGCTGACCTGTGCTGCTGCTACGTATACCCCCCGGGGGGGGGGGGGTCCTTACTCCTCACTTGGTTGATGATTTCCTCATAGATTACCACGAATCCTCCGTCGAAGCGAAGCAGATGAGCAAAGACAACCACGTCGAAGCCGCATCCGGCGAGCCCCCGCAACGGGATCCTTCGCCGCTGCCGCCGTCTACGGCTCAGCAATACCCGCCACCTCAGAAGGGCACCTTCGAAGTCGTCTACAACAACCCGCCGGCACCTCAGCCCACCGTCGGTGCTCAGTATCCTCATGGCCACCAAGCGCCTCCACCGGGTATGTTTGTTGTCGGTGTCCGTTCCCAGATCCTTTTTGTTCTTGACTGATTAATTTGTTGTCTTTAATTTGTTGGCATAATTGGTTCTTGATGCATCATAATATTGCTTCACGAAAGGATCAACTCCAATTCAAGCGAAAATAATGCTATACTAACTAAATCTTATATTTAGGACTGAAAATAATATTAATTATATTACTAAAAATTATTTTAGAATTGTTTAAGGCTATTGTTGGGCCTTAAGCTAATTTCTAAAAATTAATTTGTATTTTGAATCGTCCCATCTTTTAATTACTTTAATTAATTCATTCAGGAGAATCAATATTACATATTAAACTCTCAATAATAATTCTCTAAAATTCTCAATATTTCTAATTTAAATTCATACATGCACAGATCAAGATGTTCATATTGAAATTGAATATTAATTGAGCATATAAAATTAGTTTATAGCAAAAACGGAAATCTGGGAATAACAATAGGAAGAATATATATATATATATATATATATATATATATATTAACATATCAATGAAATTTTTTTTTTTGTGGAGACGATGTACGATAGCGTGAAAAAGAGGATGAAAATAAAGAAAAGAAAGAAATAAAAGAAGAGAGGAACGAGACAAGGAAAAAGAGAGAAGAGCTGGAGAGAGGGAAAATTACAGGAGAATGGTGTCGGATTTTTCACAACTAATTTTAATCTAGATGGTCTCACCCAGAGTTATTCTAGGTCATTTAGGGGCCTTAACTAGTGATCCGGGTTGTTTCCCTCTTGACGATGAAGCTTGTCCCCCATCGTCTCACTAGCCAGCCTTGACCCTATTATTTTGAGGTCATCTCTAGTGTTCGGAGTTTGTCTCCATTTGGTACCACTCTTCCTGCCCGCACTAGGGATGAAAGTCAGCCTTAGTGATCTGGTTGATCTCTCTAAGTAACTAAGCTTCATTTATCCATTTGCAAGCTATATTATTTGATTTTGATGATCTTTTTTTTTTCTTTTGTTTGGTGTAACTAATTAGTATTGCTACCTGCTTTTGATAAATTTTCCTTTGTGTTGTTATTTCAGGTTATACAGTTGCTGATGGAATGCCTGTGAGAGAGCCTCCACTTCCTTGCGGTATTGGCTACGGCTGGTTCTTGTAAGTAATTAATAAGTTACATTATTTCACATCATTAACTTGTAAGCGTATGATAATCATATATAAGTTTTGTTATCTATTCGCTGTTTGGTTACTTTTGAATGTTTTTTTTTTTAATTTATAAGTTGGAGCCATTATTAATTATCACAACTAAGTGATTTAAGGAATTTTTCTTTGGAGTGACAAGTAATTAAGTTGGAGGTAGTCGAATGGTTTCAGATTGAGTTACCTAATAATGCAGGCACCGGCCATAAGAATATATTTAGCCTTCTAGCACGTTCTCACTTTTCCTATGTATAGTTTCATAAACATGCTGTAAGTGTTAAGGTTTTTGTTTCTTGTATTATCTGGTTATATTCCCTCTGGGCCTAACTATAAAAGCCAGATAACTAACAAATATTTAAAAAATTAGTTAAGTTAGATATTTGTAACAATCGTGTATTGTTTTTCTTAAATAATACTATCTGACCATCACCCCATTGATGAAAACTCCTTTTTTATATATGCGATCAATAAAGATAGTTTTAAAAAAATTACAAAATCAGAAACAAAATGAACTGTGGCCTTATATATATAAAAGACTTAAATAAACACTTGACTAGCTTTTATATTGAGTTTGTTGATTCCGAAGGTTTCTTCTCTTGTGAAGGTTTGTATCAGGTCTCTTGCTTGGCGCAATCCCTTGGTATGTTGGGGCAATACTTCTTTGCTGTTCCAATATAGACCCCAGAGAGAAACCTGGATGTATTGCTTGTGCAGCTGCTGTAAGTGATTCACTTTAATTTACTCTAACCTCCCATTTTGTTTTTGAATTAAAGCAAGTTTTAAATGGGTTAAAGAACAAAAATACCCACAAAATTTTCTCTTACGGGCACACATCTAGCATCCTAAAGTTTTTAAAGGGACAAAAATACCCACAATATTGTTTAATGGCCTAGGGGATTCTACCTCTTTTATTGGAACTTCATATATATGTATATTTGTCCCTTTAGAAGGCTTAATTAGGATGCGAAATTTTGTAGATATTTTTGTCCCTAACCCTATTCAAATTTCATATTGTTTCAGAAAAGGGAAGTACCAAACAATGTTGGATTATTTCATTCGATCGACTTGATTCTTTTTCCTCTTTGATTTTGCTTAAGTGAGCCTTTTGAGCATTATGCTTCATGTGGTACATGTATCTTTTCCCTAAAGTTTTTGAGATGATTATATACGAAGTTATAAAGCTCCACAATAAATTAAGTATATGTCTAATTAACTTGGTGTTCGAGTTCTTTCTTTGTTGCTATAATAATGCAGCATTTTCCCCATCAAACTATTCAAGTGCCTCAGTTTATACTAGATGACTACTAATCTTGTGACATTGATTTTGCAGGCTGTTGTTTTTACAATTGCAATTGTTATTATTGCAATAATGGAAGCACATCACTGAGATGACTTGTAATATAATTTTCAGAGAAGTGCCTCTGTTTCATATTATACTGAACCCGTGGGTTATATATACATATTAATGGGAGGTTGAACATGTTTCTTTAATATTGACTTATGAAAGGCATAAGATACACATGTATTACATGTGTGTTTTTATATTGTATATCCTACTCGAGACCTTCATTTTACCACACTTGTATGTCCTTGAATTGAACTGATAGTTAGTTACTAATACATTCTATCTTCTACTGCTATACTAACTCTGACATCCTTGATATAATAACTAAATAACTAATTTATGAATATTAAAAATGTTAGTTGATTTAGTTATTTATAATGAACGAATGTTGTCTTCCCTAAATATAATGTCCTTGTTAATCATGTGTATTGAAATTACTTCTTAATGAAAACTCCCTAATTAACATGTATAATATCACCATAACAATTACTTGAGAGCATTAGAAACAAAGTAGATTGATGTCTTATATTTAAAAGAACTAAATTAAATCTACAACAAGTTTGTTGTTGGGATTGCATCAAATTAAAAGTAGACTCGTTACTGGAATCTGCCCCGGAGTGTACATATATACTGTGCTGTGTTTAAAGCGGATTACCTCCTCAGATTCCTCTGGAAGGCTTGAACTCCTCTTTCCTGCTCTCATTCCGCAATAGCAACATATTAGCTCCAGTCCCAACTATAAGACTTCATTTGTGTACTATAAACAAGGTCTTATAATTAGGACCAGAGGTAATATAATATACTGGTTGCCATAATGCAGTTCTTCACAAGATTGATAAAGTTAGAAGGCAAGCCAATCTCTTCCAACACTCTCACCAGGAAACCCAGCTCATCCTGTCATATATCCCTTTTTTAGATCTATTTTAATTACTATATATAAACCTCTTTCTGCATCGCGTCTTTCCCATAATGTGAACCACCTCCTTAGCGATGGCTATGTTATCCTAGATATTACGCTCACGAATAAAGCTGGATTGAAATGGGGACATAATTTTATCCATTATTGGTTTAAGTCTTTGCACCAATAGCTTTGAGATCCCCTTTTAGAGGAAATTACATAATGAAATGGGTCGAACTCGAGCCACCTTCCACTTTAGGAACCAAAACCAACAAAGTTTTATTTAATTTTGCAAGTCACTACGGGCTTCGCCAAGGCGACCACAACGTTTCCTACATCTCCCAATTTTTTTGATAGAAGATTGCTAGGAAATCATCATCCTCTTCATAGACGAGTTTTTGGAAAATTACATTCTTTTTAACAAACCACGGAGATGGACGACAAGAATGTGCAATAAATAAAAAGGAGATGATTTAACCAATTATTAAAAGTTTCTCATTTAACCCCTGCAATTTATTCATTTAATATCTACTCCATTCACAGGGAGAAGTACTTGAGCCGCCAACCTTGGCTAAAGAGAGAGATCATCCTTAGACTCACTAAGATGGATTCCGGACATCTTACATGGCACACTCCAAGTAAAACACTGCAATAACCTTGCAAAAAGCATTAGGGTTATGAGAGATCCAAATGTAACTCCTGGACATCCTCGTCTTCCTATGCTGAATGATATGAATCTTAAATCTGGTTCTGTCAAACTCAAACGGACATCATCATCATCATGTGTCTGTTTTTTAAGGTGGCGATCTGGTTTGAACTGGTCAGGATCTTCTTCCCAGACTCTAGGGTTTCGACCTAACCTTGTTCTGCTTAGGATCACGTGACTGCCTTTGGGGATGATGAAGTGATCGGCGACCACCGTGTCGGCCATGCACAGGTAAGGAGGAATGAATGGTGCTACTGGGTGAAGACGAAAGGCTTCTCTTGCACAAGCTTTGATATAGTTGAGTTTTTGTAGGTCTGATTCTTGTACTAATCTGTGTTTTCCAACAACATCGTCTAGTTCTTGAGTTGCTCTTTCTAATAACTCAGGCTTGTTTGGCATTTCTGCTATTGCCCATTCAAGTGCGTTTGATGGATTATCTACTGTTGCATTCATCACATCCTGCACCAACAACAAGACAAAGAAAAAATTAATTCACTTAGTCACATTGATTGTACATTTGCATAGAGATGTACACCCTCAGCTGTAAAATATAAGTCACTTTTAAGTTTTAACCACCTCACTGGATTAAGGAAGATCCTTTTAGAAGGTGACTTATATTTTGAATTGAAGTGAGTATATGCGAATTAAAGACATGGATGGGGGAAAAAAAAGAAATACATGTATAAATTAATTGCTATAATAAGGACCCCACTTGGTGACTACTAATAAGGATCATCTATATCTTTTTAAAGGTGTCTTAGATAATAAAGATATAGAAAGGGAGTATATCACTCGTATTAATTAATGAGAATAAAGACTAAACAAGTTTTGTCCGCCCAATCTATATATGTTTTTTTTCCCCTTGGCAAAATGACAATTTAATATCTTACAAGAAAATTAAAGTAAAATGAAGACTTTTAATTAAATTATAAATATGAAAAATTTTTCAGTAATTCTATGTAGAAGTTGAAGTAACATGTATAAGATGTATATGTGAATTAAAGATATGGCTAGAGATGACAATTAAAGAAAATCAGGGTATAAAATTAATTGCTATAATTGTAGCTTTGATTTCTTCTGGTGTTAGCAACAGGTGGCGATCAGCATCTTTCAGAGAAATAAGAACATCAAGCAGGTCCTCTTTTTCCCATCCTTCCATTGTTGGATTCTGTCGTCAATCATGGGATCATGATATTTCTTAATTTTCTCAAGAGCATTGGTCAACCTTTTCTCGTGCCCATCAAAGTCAAACGCTCTAAAACATGGCATATAATCAGAAACACAAAAAGCATACAGAAACCATAATAGTGTGAAGATGGCCCCCACATGTTCTTCTTCCTCAAATCCAGGTCCTCCATCTTTCCCTCCTTCCCCAAAATACCTCTTATTGAATCCCTAATCACATTGCCACGATATTGCTGCGACACTAACCTCAGATTCACCGGACCTTCTTTCTTGTCGTCGTTATTGCACAGGCTATACACGTACCTGACCAGGTTGTCTGCTTCTTGAGCTCTTCTGTCATGAAGCCATCGAAGTCTCATTGGAGAAATCAGTTCAGTGCTTATCACTTTCTTCATCTTCTTCCATTGTTTCCCAAAGGGTACTAAAGTGGTCGTCAAATATCCTCCTGAGATTAGTTCGGCAGCCGTACTTAGGGGTCTTGAAGCAAAATTTGCGTCCTGCTTCTTTAAGAATTCACAAGCGATTCTAGGGCACGACACCGGCACAACGTGAACGTTACCTAAGAAAAAAATTATACTATTTCAGTTCCAGAAGCGGGTTTGGGGTGATGAGCACTGAAATCTAAACCGTGAAAATCTAATCTGATTGGTTTAGATATAACTTTTTATTTTTATTTTAAAAAAATATTTTAATGTGGGTACAAGATGTGATATAAAGATAATATCATAAATGTCCGTTTTTTCCACAAAAAAAAAATTGATGGTGCGGATTTTACCATTACGATGAACATTTGCAGCAAGCACTGAAACTAGTTCTATTGGAGAGGGAGCGGTGATACTGGCAAAACAATAGATGCTCAAGATTGAAGTTCAAAGTAATTATCAAGACGTATGCATAAAATAGCAGTGTTGAGGTCAGTCATTAATTTGTCTATCCACCTGAAAACGGGCTTGTTTGCGACCATTTCTGGAAGGCTTCCAACAAGAGTCCGTGGTTGAGGGCCAGGAGGGAGTTTGGGTGTCCCAGGTTTTTCAGTTATGTTGTGTTTGCTTGGGAATTTTAAGGTTAGGCATGAGAATCAGTTTCAGTGCTCATCTCTTTGATGAGCACCATAAGCTCATCAGATCTGAACCATCTATATCTCATTTGAACAGTCCAAATTTAAAATCTTTAATTAATTATTTTTAAATAGAACAAACTATTTTTTGAAAGAATGATAGTTAAGAGATCATCATTATTTTAGATTCTATACATATTAAAATAATTATTTTAAATAAAAAAAAATCAAATCTGAACCACCCAAATGAAATATGAACGGTTTAGATCTGATTAGTTTACGATGCTCATCAAATGGATGAGCACCGAAACTGGTTCCGTTAGGCATGATGTCAAACTAGCTAGCATGAGAAACAAAGCATACGAAAACCATCCTTGTATTGAAAGAAAAAGGTTAAAGGAAAACTCCATAGTTGGGAAAAGAAGCTTTATGGGTTCAAAGAGGAGCACACTGGAATCTAATTCTTCTCTATTCATTATACCTCTGTAGGTTCATATATATACAAATAAAATAGGAGAGGTTATGTATAGGCTTAATATAGGTTATGTATAGGCTTAATATGTGTAGTACTCCTTCTGTTGTTCCATTATTATATATTAGTTCGATTATACACAAGTTAGAAATGCAATAAATATATGATGCAATTTATCAAATTTGCCCCTCGTTTTGTTTCTAACAGTACTTCAATGCCTCTAAAAACATCGTTTTACTCTAAGGGTAAAATGGGAAATATGATATATATTAAATATTGGTGGAATTGAGAAGGGACTTGATGATCTAATATCAAACAAAATTTTCAATTTCCCCCAAAAAGAACAAATACAAGGAAGTGGAGGGAGTAAATGAGATGAAGGCAACCTCCCCAAACAAAGTGTAACTAATTGTACTCTCATTTAATTACAAGAACAATTAATGTACCACTTTGGTTCTAAGTATAAGTTGCTTGTAATATATTTAATATTTATTTTCTAATTTTATTTTTATTTAATTTTTACTGGAAAAAGAGAAAGAATAGAGATATATGAGAATAATTTGGGTGTGTATATATAGAGATTTTTAATAAGGATAAGATTAGAAAAGTTTGTTAATTTAATGCATTTCTTAGTATATGAGTATATATTATAAGTTTTTTATATTGAGGACTTGAGTACTAACTCATTTATTCATTGAGCCTGTATAATTCCTCCAATTCTTTTTATAAGCTTCAATTATTTAATAAGTTTGGTTCTTTTTATAAGTTACATATTAAATATGTCAAACATTTAATGCACTTCTTTTATTTTTACTACTCTGATCTTATTTATAGGATAAAGAGATCAGAAAATTTTTGGTTCTATTTATAGGACAGAAAGAGAAATTTTTCATATGAATATGCATATGAATATACAATCTTATCTTCTATTTATTATTTTGTTAACTTTGTTTTCATGTAGTATATTATACATTG